GTCTTAAGGTTATTTCAACAGAACTTCCTTCGCTTGAAGTACAGTACAATAAATCCAATTAAAAATTAAAATTCTACAACAATATTTTGCAAATGAATTTTGAATCTGTAAAACCGAATGCTTTGAAATCTTGCAGATGTTTTAAAGTTACCATAAGCATGGTGAAATTTTAATCCAAACATGTGTACAAAAAATAATTACGTCGTGTCAAAATTTTGACGAATAAATCCCAAATTGAAATTAGATTATTATAAAATAAATCAGTCATCTTAGGACCATATATAAAAGTAAAGCATATGTTAATTATATAGGTAGGTACCTACATTGTAGGAAATATTTACATCGGGATTATGTAGAAGTCAGTGGCGGCTCGTGACTGTCTGATATGGTGAGGCGATGATAGAAGTTTGACAATAATATTATCAATAATAAAATTAATTAAATTAATGTGATTAATGCGTATTACTTGGTCTTAGTAGTTAGTAATGATAGAAGTCTTGCCTGAATACCGTTCATTTCCCAGTCAGTAGTGGGTCCTAATAATAGTAATAATAATATTAACACCCATAACACATTTAATCAACAATGTTTTTACAAGTCAACATTTTGTTTAAACTAGCACTTTCTTGGAGGGATTCGGCAATAGTTATGTTCCTTTCTAAATCTTTTAAGCCCATGAAATTTTTAATGTGTACTTTGGAACTTTTGTGTAACTTTGTAATTCGAATGAAATCCTTTAAATCGTTATATCCCGGAGACGTCGTCCATGTGTTTTTTACATTGCCTAAGAGTAGACACGGCCAACAATATAGACTTTCAGCATAAATATTACGGCTACGGCAGAGCCGTTTATGTTTCGTACCAGGCTGGTTTAAAAGACCTGGAGTACTGATGACATTGTCGCTTATCAATGGAAGTTAACGGTTTTGACTGTTCGATATTTAGCAAAATTTACCGACGTTTTAACTCGGTTCGTCGTGAAAACGGCGTTTCAAGAAGCAACATGACAATATCGTACTCGGGATTCATTTTTCACTCACCTGTACCCTGTACCTACGAAAGAGACAAAAATACGAAACACCAACTCCTGGACTTTTATTCACGTTAATGCTAATTACCCACGCACCCTGCATCCCTTCCATTCTGTAAAATAAATGGGAAAATGGTTTAATGGGTCCGCCGAAATTGGCCGAGAAGCATCGAAGATATCGCCTCAGTTCCGAGCGAATTCATGTATAGGAGTATAGCAGCTGAGTCATGGAAATCCGTGTCTGTGATTGGGCTTCATTGGCTCAAGTGAACCGACGCTCTGGCCGCTTCAGTTAAAGAATTCGGGGCATAAATCGTACAGTATTCAACGGAAAATGTCCGCAGAAAGTGTAAAAAATAAAAAATAATCTACATATTTACCATTTCAACATATTTTTGTAACTAAAAATGCATTGAAAGCTCTTTTTTAATTATAAATTAAATCAATCTGTTCTTAAGATATATGCTGTGAGGCGCCGCCTCACTTGCCTCATATGACGAGCCGCCACTGGTAGAAGTAGATGTATTGTAAGATCACCTTAAAAGCATACTAATAAAATGACTTAATTAGGATTATTTGGTTGACAATGCCGAATCGGCTTTTCGCATTAGGGTCCTTGTAAGCCATGTCGCATGCCTACAGAATTTCCTGTGTTGCCCCAAGCAGACGGTCGTACCTGTATTGTATTTATGATTTCAGACTTCATCGGATTGAGTTTTTTGACTAAAGTTTTAAAATATTATTAGTATGTATTTAAAGTGATCTTAGTATATACTTATGCTCATAGACGAAAAATTTATTAGAACGTTCACATACTCAGGCAAAAAATAAACAAGACTTAAAAAAAAACAATGCAATACCAGCAATAATGTATAAATCAAGAATATGCCAAAAATTTGTGTTTAACAAATTAATTAAAATAAAAAGTACCTACTATTATTTATTTATTAAATTATATTAGTCGGAAAAAATCATGCCATCTCAAACCTTGACTGGCTGTCTAAATCGTTAGAATATCGGAGGCTGCATATCTGTTTTGTTAAACAGTGTTGTCTGTCGTGCATTATTATTCGATAGATCTCTAAAAAAATTGTTTTGTAAATATAGGTTTTATTAATTACGTATTTTTGTTTGAGTGGATTTTAGAAGATAATTGACTTATTTCAGTACATTTGGGTAATAATAAATAAGTTCAATAAAACACATATACAATTTCGTTACGCCAGACAAACGATCCGGACATACATACTTAATACTATCCGTGCGAAGCCGGGCCGGATTCCTAGCTAAAACTATTTCTTTGACCTACACTGAAAAAATGACGTAAAACAAATTAGCTACCTACTGCCGTCTGCTCGTTGTTATAGACAAATATACTTACTTTTTATCAAAATAGATCGAATGCTAAGTATAAACATATTTTTTTTTTATAAAAAAAGTTACTAAATAAGAAAGCAATTGTATCATTTTAGTAGGTACCTGTTATAAATTTAGATCATTTGTTATTTTAGGAGTGTTTAGTTTGCTGATTGACGACAAATGTATAGTTTCCCCAGTTCTAATTCGGTTTTATGATTTGTAAAAGTTAACTTTCTTAATGATAGATTACTACTGCCCGTGATGGGACAGTCATAAATAAGGTTTTAGCCTTTATACAGTATAATGGTAATGTCATGGTTAAATCCTTATTTATGACTGTCTCATCACCGGCAGGAGTAATCTATTGTTAGGAAAGTTAACTTTGACACAATGGAGTACTATCATAAAACCGAATTACTGGGAAAACTATCTGAACGCCGCTGAAAGGCGCTTTGTTCCAGGTCATAAAAATTGCCACAGATAGGCAACTCTCCATTCTAGAGAAGCACACTGTTTAGCATGGTTCAGGGTTCAGCTAAATTTTTAACAAATGTTAAATCGAAAATCCAATGAAGGTTGTCCGGGTGTGGGATTTTTTTTGAGGTTGTGTGTTTGTCAGGCATATGGCACATCGGATTGGGTTTCTGTGTCAATTTTTATGGGTTGGACCACATAGAAAAGAATTATTCAGTTCGGTAAACTTGTCAGTCAGCTGTTTAGAGGGTTTAGAGGTTCACTTTATTTTATCTAATCTACATATAGAGTTGCGGCGACACCGTGGCGAGCGATGACAATGTTAGGGTTCTGCACATTTTATTAAACGATATACATCACCCACATGTTGGATAAAAGTGAAGGATATAGTCAATTATGACTTAACTGTGTTGATGGTGTAAATTTTTGTATTTCTGTTTATTTCGTACTTTTAATTTATAACATGCGGTATGGGCACAGTATGTGCCGGGATAGCCGAGGTAATCACATCTGAATACAATACAGTTTTTTTGGAAGAAAAATCGGTGAAAAATCCTCGATGTTAGTTGAACTGAAAATTTGTTTGCTTTGCTGTTTCAGTAATTCTTTTAAGTAAGTAATCATCAGTACTTGGGGAGTACAAATTTCAGATGAATGCGGTCACCTCCATAAAGAGATGTCGATGCGGATAGTTCTGTGATTTGTTCTAAACTTAACACGTGACAGGACTTCGTCTATCAATAATAGCAAAATCAACGAGTTGAAGTTCATCTGCCAATTGCACTACCAATTATCCAGCCATTTTTCGAAATTCCGTTCCGAACTGCGCTACCCACTCCCTCGTGGGATGAGCAGGTTTTCCGGCTTGGCAGTCCACTAGGAAGTGAATGAAGCGATCAAGTATATTATATATATTTGACGGGGGAAACATTCGTAATTTGAAAATCAGAACTACCCCTAAACAAATACCTATTTATTTTGAGCAAGTATATACATATTTTGATAACGGATGTCCTTCAAAAGTTGGTCTCTAGAACTCTAGATATGTTAAGCTTTTTACGTACGTATGCTTTTTGGAATATACCGGTAGCAAAAGTAAAGCATAAATGACAAAAGAGGATGTTGGATTGTACGCATTTACAAAACTGCGCTACTTAAGTTTTGCTTTGACTAAAAGTACCTAATTAACAAAAAAATTAAGATTATACTTGGATAGGCCATAATATTTGCTTCACTGTCAGCTTTTTATACGGCAAAATACGTTATAGTTTTGCGGTGGCTTAGTCTTAAAAAGAAACATTGTTTTTTCGGTTTTTATTAAAAACGCCGCTAAGTCAATATAAAAATTATCATGGTTATCAATAAGTTTGAGAGTGTAGGTGGAATACGGTACTTGGTTATCAACAAGTGGGAACGTAGGTGGCAATAAATATTATTATCAAAAACCTTTGTGGGGAAATAGTTACGTTAAGAATGCAATATCTGATAAATACATGTTCTGAATTAATTATATTACAAATATTTTATTTCATTATTTTTTTGTCTATTTATACATTATAGTTAGGATTATTTAACACTAACATTAAAAATAACCACTATGGTTGTATCAGTTTGAAAATTAAATTTCGCGCATGGAAAAAAGCAATGCCTCGAAACAGCATTTAGTGATATGTGAATTCGATTCACGATGTAATTTTTGTGAACTCAATGTATCTAGCATAATTAAATTTTGCTTCACAATTCAGGAGATTTTAACTTTAACCGAAACAAACGCACGGCATCGAGCGGCGGAAGTAGTAACGGGTCCGTCCCCAAATGTAGTTTTTCCTCATTGTCATTGTTCGTGTGAATGTTAATCTGTATTATTGGACTTGCGCCAATCTGAATCGGGCCGTCTAGCTGGCTGCCTCTTTTACGAGGATGAATGGTTGGTCACACAACTGATCATTTTAGTTATTGATCTACTCTTGTGTAATAGGTTCAAAATATTTCACCTAGGTCTGATTTGTACCAAGCATGATCCTTCAAAATTAATAACGGGTAAGCAACATAATGCGTCATCTCACTCAGAACTGTATTTCCAGAACCTCCTACCACCACGAATTATGCTGCTCACTATTTTAAATAAAACTATACGTAACTAAAACGTTGACTTTATTGCTGGAAAAGTACGAAATAAACATTTTGTATACCACAAGCAAATAAATGGCATAATAAATATTAAATTTATAATAACTTTTTACAGGAATTGTCAAGATAATTAGACTTACTTTAATTAAAATAAATATTTCAATAAAATAATCACTCGTATGTACAAAATTTAAGAAAATGAGATTACTCAACCAACAAGGAAACCGGAACAGATCAACCATCCTCTGAATCCTAAAAAAAGAAATAATTCGTAACATCAGGTAGACCTACGAAAAAGGCAAACCTTAACGTGGCGCTGGAGGTGGTGGTGCGTAAGGAAAATACATTCCCGCAACACCTTGTGTAGGTGGTGGCGGTGGTGGAGCATTGAAGAACATTGACCCGTTGCTCAGGGAGTAACTTCCGAATGGTACAGGGGGAGGGATATTTTGATACGACAGTAGAGGTTGTGGTGGAGGCTGTGGTACGACGACTGCGGTTTTGTTTGATCGAGGAGGAGGGCTTCGATCTCTACTAATACTACGAGACTTCTTTCGCCGACTTCTGTCTCTAGATCTGCTTCGATCTCGTCTGCTCCTGCGAGGCGATCGTGATCTTGATCGTGTCAGAGATCTGTGAGATTGTTGTTGGTGGCCCCTTCCTCTACCCCACCGGTTTCGCCCTATAATAAATACCAATACAACAATGTACTTCACTATTTTGTTTTATTCCAAAAATAAGATTTAATAACGTACCTCGACCGGAACTGCCATTGGAACTCCAATTGCGATTGTCGGCCATCTCTTGGAGTTTTGGATTAATTACTTGTTTGGCTTCCTTAAGAACTGATACTAAATCAGCTGCCTTATTTGCATTGGCTGGAGTGAAAAACGTATAGGCTGTTCCTGTTCGTTGAGAACGGCCTGTGCGACCTATGCGGTGCACGTAATCCTCAGAATTGGACGGGTAGTCAAAATTGATAACAAATTTTACGTCTTCTACATCTGTAAAATCGATATTATTATCAATATGATATAGCTAGGATTGTTGTTGCCTCTGTTTTTATGGCGAGTACTGCAAGTACAGCTTCTATACAATTTAGTCAAGATTTCCAGAAGATGTGTAATAAATAAAGATTTTAAAGATACACACCATCTAGAAAACTTTACAATGCATTATAATACATACCAGAAAACCTACGTTATAGTTTATTTATTTAGAACATTACTAATGCAGTAATTTTATTCCTAATTAAAATTATAATACATTTTTTACTTAGAGGTCTACCTACATTAAAGCGCAGAGGAAAATGTTCTGCCGATACACATATAATTCCATCCAAGAAGCACTTCCATGGAAGTTCATCAACGCAGTATTTAATTACATGAAGTGTTTTTCAACTCTTTTCGACAACTTTTAATTAAAGTCTGAGTTTAAGTATGTATTGTTTACAAATAAAAAATAAACCTGACTATGACATTTTAAGCAGAAGCTCATTCCTATACACTTTCATAATTATCTGCTGTACAAATGGATATGTCAAATGGGCTGCAGCTTTATACACTGACTTTTCTTGCTGGTAATGACGTATGAAAAAGTAAAGGCAACAACAATAACAACAACGCGTATGAAATGAACGAATATACCACAGTTGTGTGATCAGTATATGTAATTTAAAATAAATAAATAAATAATACAAACACATATATCCTACCTATGAATGAAAAGAAATTTGGCATCAAAATCTGAAATTGGTTTGAATGGTGTCTGTATAAAATGCATACCAAAATAGTGCATCTTTTCAATTCAATGTCAGCACAGTAAGGACCACGAGCCCAGGTCACAGATGCCCCCAAGTCTCAAGACCTGGAGCGAGTGTCAGACGGACACTGCGCCTCGCAGCCAAGCCAACCCAAATCTGAGTCCGGCGTAGGGCAGCGTTGTCGGGTAGGCCCGCCCACGACCAGGTTATAGCCGGCAGTCCTAGACCACAGACTCCAACATGGCCGCCTGAGCGCACATTGACCGTCGTCCGATTGAGAGGCACAGCCACAATGACAATGATTCTGTCATTAACACGCTTGTGCCTCTGGAAAAAAGAGTAGTGGCCATTTTATAATCGCTATTGCTGATCATTGTCCCATGCACACTGGTCAACAGGCTAATATCAAAGCTCCACATTTATTTGTCGAACATAAACAAACAAAAATGCAAACAAAACGACATCTTAATGCTATTAGCCTGCCACACACGTTTGTAAATCAAAAAGAAATTATAAAAATAAACAAGCAAATCTGCTATTCTCGTCACATACCTAAACCTCGCGCAGCCACGTCGGTAGCCACCAAAATCGGGGCTTTACCCGACCTAAAATCTGAAAAAAAAACAAGGTGTTAAAATATGCCACAAGTAGAGAGAAATACAAATTTAACGTTTATTTCATCGACTTATGAGCTCAAATCGTAAAATTTTCGAGCTAAAACACGCACACTGGTGTTATTTTCGTAATTATTTATATGCATATAGCATTGGGAATCAGATATATTAACAGCTAAGTCCGAAAAGACTGAATAAAGGAGGTCCAATAATAATAATAATAAAAAAAAGAACATCAACAACAATAATAAAAAAAAATAGTGTTTAATTTTTTTATTGAAACAAGGAATATTTTACACCAGCACATTTAAATATCAATACCACATTTTTGCCATTTCATTTATAGTTTAGGAAATATCGTTGTACCCTATAAAATTTTATTGACAATAACGAGACGGACAGTAGTACAATGGCAAGAGATATTTACAATTTAAAGTTGTCGCGTGGCGGTAATCCGCAGATGTTAGAAAGCAGAATAATCCAGGTCCGGACAGGGACCATCCTTACTCACGAACAAATTCGGGTGGACTCGTGTAAGCCATAAATATTTCTCACCATTGTACTACTGTCGGTCTCGTTATTGTCAATAAAATTTTATAGGGTACAACGATATTTCCTAAACTATAACATTGTAGTACCGCCAGTCAATATGGTGTAATCAAGGTAGCATGTGACGATCATTGTTAAAAATTAGAAATAAATAGCGACTCTGAAACAGACCTTGGAGTAAACTACGCACTACTTTAACTAGTCTAAAATGGAGAATTACTACAGTACACACATTAATACGTCATAAATCAAGGTAGACCACGGAAACCACAGTGATTTAATTTCTTAATAAGTATAGTATGCGCAACAGAATCGAATAGTTTACTTAAATCATATGACGATGATGAACATTTATGTTTTTCAACAGTAAATTAGCTGTTATTCTATTAACCAGAGATAAAACAGTATCAATACTGTAGCGATTTTTGGAGACGCCAATTGGCAGCACACAAGTCTTTCATTTTTTTAGGTGTTGTAAACAATGCTTTCTCTCCAGAGTTAACTACTTCATTTTCTTTAGAAAAACTAACAAATGCATTTCTAGATATTCCTGCGGTTGCCATAACTCCCACTCTAAAATTAGCTATCGGAATAGCGATTGCCTCCTCAGCTTCTCTTTTCATAAAATCAATCACTCTAGCTATTAATTCTCTAGTCTGTGAACGCAAAGGTCTGCCTTTGCCAATTTTCAAAGTAAACATTTCTACTTCGCTGTAAATAAAAGTAAAAGAAAATGCGATATTTTCTTTAAATAACATGTTTAAAAACAGTGCTCTTGTATTTTATTTATTAGTAGGTACTCACTAAGAACAATAATAACGATAAAACGCAAAGAAACACAAAAAGACACGAGACGCCGCTACCAGACACACGAAGACAGTAAGATAAATTAAGGACCCTACGATCTTATGTTTCCATCTAGAAACTTTAAATATGTATATGTATATGCATATTTAAAGTCTCTGTTTCCATCCCCCAAGAGCTACGAATGGACTCTACCACATAACTTGCTTCACTGCGCAACTCACGTGATGGCAGTTTTCGTTCTGATTGTCCCTCTATGATTTCTTTAGATGACAACAATCTTTTGATCAGCCGTTTTTTGTTCAGAATAGGATGTCGTGTTTTTTTTTAAGCTGAGTCATGACGATATTACATACTTTCATAACTGTTCACGGCTCCGTAAATATTTATAACTCGATCTTACGAAGTTGTGCATTGTATATATTGATGCGTTTATAAGTTATAAAACCATCCTAATAAAAAAAAAAAATATATTACTTTAAGACCCGATTTATAGAAAGCGAAGTTAAAGTTAATTCGCGATTAACTTTTAACTGAGGTCCGTTGCGAGGCAACGGGCATATTTTAACCAATCACGGGCTCATATTCCACATTTTAATTCTCTGTTAAACTAATCGAGGATTAAATATTTAACTCGCTGTTCTATAAACCGGCCCTAAGACCGCTTTTTGCAACTAAACTCTTACAATAATCAATGGCACATGCATGATGTAAAATCACAAATACTATACATCAAATATTTACTTCGATTTCAAAGTAACTTAAACATCTATAAAATTATAGTCGTTCCTGCTCTGTCCAAATAACTGATCAAGTGCGATCAAAAATCGCAAACAATAATTAAATTTAATTTAGTCGATTATTCTTTTTTTGTTATTATTTTTAAATGAGTTACTTTGACAACTTGTATACTATTAAATACATAGTCTGTAAACTTTTGTAAAGAATTATTTGTAGCACCGCATCGAATTTATGACTCTTGTAAAAAAAAAAAATACCCGTGCATATAAAACTTTCAGTTTTGATGGGATTTGATAGACACTTTGTATGCAGTTCAATAAACATAAAACTTGTACTTTTATCTGATACCACTGAAAAGCTACGTGTTATGTGCTAAAGAAAATGTGGACCACTCAGTATAGATATATCACTATGAAATACATAAAAAATGTTTAATACCTTACCTTGTAATACCCAATCTCGTTCTTGTTGAGATTTATCCCCATGTATGCATACCGCTGGCCATCTGCAACTAAAGAATTACGAAATTTAAAAACACAGATCGCTTAACCTTACCCGTCCCGCTTCATTTTCCTCGTAATATCATCCACTCTCTTTTTAGTTTCAATAAAAATTATCGTTTTATTTTCCTTCTCAGCCATAATCTCCTTAAGTAAAGTACTCAGCTTGGTTTCTTTCTCATATTCTTGACATACATCAATGATTTGAAGAATATTATGATTTGCAGATAATTGCAAAGAACCTACATTAATTTGAATGTAGTCTTTTAAAAATTCAGCAGCTAATGCTTGAACTTCTTTTGGCCACGTAGCTGACCACATCAAAGTTTGTCGATCTGGTCGAATCTGTTCAATTATTTTGCGTATCTGGGGCTCAAAACCCATGTCAAGCATTCTATCGGCTTCGTCCAAAACTAAGTAGGTACAACGCCTTAAATTCGTTCTATTGCTTTCTAAAAAATCGATCAACCGGCCTGGAGTTGCTATCACAATTTCAACACCGTCCATTAAATCGTTTGCTTGAGGTCCCTTAGGGGCACCTCCGAACACACATGTATTTCGAATTTTGGAAGAACGTCCAAAATCTGTAGCTACCTATAAAAATCAGTCTAATGTAATTTGTGTCTACTGTACCCAAACATATTTTTTACAAATTCTAATTAACATTAAAAAAATCTGAAGTCGTTTATTAGTTAAGACGCTCTCAAAGTAGTACATACCTGTTGAATCTGCTGGGCCAATTCTCTCGTGGGTGCCAACACCAACGCAATAGGTCCGTCACCTCGCAACAATCTTGGTTGATGATTAATGTGAACAATCGCTGGAAGTATGTACGATAATGTCTTTCCTGAACCTGTCGAAGCAATGCCGACCATATCTCGACCCGACAAGGCAATGGGCCAACCTTGGGACTGTATAGGTGTTGGATGTTTAAATCCCATTTTTCGTATTTCTGACATGACATAATCAGGGAATCCCGCCTCATCAAATGTAAACACCAAATCAGGTATACACTTTCCTTTAAGCGATATTTCTTTACTCCTTCGCCATTCTTCGACTTCATAACTTGGACGGTTTGTTACGTTTGGATGTGGTACATAAAAATCCTTTTTAAATGGTTCAAGACGGCTTAAATCCCAGCGAGGCTTTCGTAAATTTGCACCGGCTGTGTTTCTACGTCCGCCACCGCTGTATCCACGATCGCGACTTCGAGACCGCCGACGGTCACGACTTCTGGACCTTGACGAGAGAAAGATTCAAACATTATATAGTTGCACGTTCTGTATCTATAGAGTGCATCATTTCAACCGATTTGTCCAATGAAAAAGAAGTCACTTTTATTTCAGGTGAAATTAAAGGTATTATGATCAGTTTACGTGATGCCTCTATAGAGATGCAATTTTGCAGTAGTTCTGAAGTAATTTTAATAAATTGTTGGAGATGAAACATCCTGTATAAATAGCATTATATAAAGCTACATATTGTTGATAGTGCCTTACATCAAACTATTTGATTAGATTTTAGTTCCAAATTTACAAAAAGCCGCTCTCAGTTGATCAGTGTGGTAAAAATTTAACACGTGCCTTTTTTTTCTACTTATTTCTGACACGCGTTCGTTTTGCACGATAGTAGTTGACGAAATTATAAAATGTAAATTCAGCCTATCTAATTTACTGTCCCAGCTAGTCTGGCATTCATAAATAACACTTAATGATAACATGTTGACATTTTTATAGAAAAGCCACAAAATTATAAATTTGACCGATTTTTAATATTCCCGAATATAAATTCATGTGTAGGGGCTCATTTACTGATTGACATCCGTAGCAAACAGCACATACACATCTATATTTACTTGTGCTATGGCAAATGAAGGAACGAAAATACGGAATAGGGCTAAAATCATCCAGACAGAACTTCCCTCGTCCTCGAAGCATAATCAAATCAAACAAACCAAGGTTCTTAGATAATTTATTACGAAAGTTAATTCTGAAAATTGTATGTTTTATGGCAACGCCTATATCTATTAAAATAAAAAATCGTATGGTGTTCTCAGACCTGTGGAAAGCTTACGCTCGGGAAGTAAAAATAAACTGGAGCGAGATCAGGAACATTTGACCTCATCATTACATAATCAATGAATTGACATTACATATCTAATAGTATGACTATAGAACTTAATTTTCAGCATTCGGTTTTTAATAGCACAGGGAATGATTTGTTTCTGCTTGCGTTCTAAATTCTAGACTTAAATTTACCTTCATCTGGAAAAAAGTATATTTTACACTTAAATGTGCTATACCAATGTGCTATACTATGTTAATAACGGTCTCAATTATATTGCATCTGCAAATGTTTTGCTGTTTGCGTCTTAGTAACGCACTAAATATTAAATAGGATATTCGAGTGCAAGTAAACTTTATCCTACCAATAAAAAAAATTGGTCTAAAGAGTTTAGACAGTACTTCCCTCGCTGTCGGAAACATGACGACTGCATGTCTATTATCGTTTTTTTCTCATTACATTTTTGTAGCGGGGCAATTTAAAACAATTTTGCGATGACGTCATCAACATTTTTGCAAGAACACGTATATCAGTTTGGATAGATGTAGTGTAATACTAAAAATAAAAGTACTGTATTTCCAAATTTTCGGGAAAATGAATTGGGTCGTCTTGAATATTGATTTATGTTCGGGTTAGGGTTTTACCCACCAATCCTTGTCAAAAGCGTCCCCAACTTTCTCTTCTACCTGCAATGTATCTCTTCCGAATTTAACCACTTTGTACATTGACTCTGAACTGTCAACAACAAGTAAATACAATGTTACACAGCACATGTTTGTGTTTCATTTATATCAATCTTTTCGGTACGTATGTATGAGTAATAATCATACATCCAACATTGGTCCTTCGAGCCGGATCTCTCCACATGTGTGATCCAGTGCTGTGAATTCAACAATAAAACGCGGTGGTGCCATTTTTCGACGCCTGTATCGGGAGACGTGATCTACCGGCCATCGGAGTTCCCTACCGAGCAGGAAAGCAGCCCATTCAGCCCATCCAGTCAATTCATTCAAGGCTCCAAGTGATCTTGTCACGGTATTGGCAATTTTCGACGCCTGCATCGGGAGACGGGATCCAGCCATTGGAAGTTCCCTACCGGACAGGAGGGCAGCGAATCAGTCCAGCCGTCCCAGGTGCCAGAGGGCCTTATTGCGGTGAGTGGGTTCCAACTTTTCCTTTTCTTTATCTACTTCCGGTTAAGCACGCATTCGACCGTAATTGCACGTCATTTTATTTAAATTTCATTGGCAAGTACCATTTACCTTGCCCGAACTGTACCGTCTGTACCAATTTTACGTATTTCAATTGATCGGTTTTTCAAATGGTTATGACGCGTTCGCAAACTTTCGAGACTCCACACATGGCAGGCGCGGAAGGCGAAGACAATGCCGAAACATTTTCGGACTCAAATCCTACACCAGAGGATGCAGCAAATTTACAAATTTTACTCTTAAAAAGAGATCGCATTCACGACGAAATATCGCGTTTTAAGTTGTGGTTTGAAACAAACAATCTTAAGTACATCCGCTTCTCGACTGACAGTAAGATTGCGCGATTTTGTACGTATTAAGGCTCAGTTTGACGAAATCCATTCTCAGAATGAAGCTCTTAGGGCCGGTTTATCAATGCTCAGTTAAAAGTGTCTGTTAAGTAACTGTCAGATAAGGGTAACTAGCAGTTAACGGAGGTAAAGTGTTTATCAATGCACGATGTTTCTTCCAGTTTCGTAGCTCGAAGTTTAGCTGTTACTCTCTTAAGTTGGTAACGCTCACCCCACTGGAAATGAGTTGTGATTGGTCAGTTCAAAACTACCCCGACCTTGAAAGTTCCATCAGATTCGATCCGCATTCGGTATTCAACGATTGTATATCGCGTTTCACGTGATCAATCATGAAAAAGCAAAATTTAGCATTAGAAAAAAAGTATTGGAAATTAAAAATGAAACAAGTAGGTACACCTATAAATAAATACAGAGAGATCGAAAAAGAAATTAGTCAAAGTTGGCCATGCACAAAAAGACGTTTGTCTTAGTTTAAAATAATTTTTTATTAATCGTCACGTTGACAAAAGTAATTTGCACTGTTATCAAACGAAATTAAAGCTTTTTTGTTATTAGAATCTTCAGAAATGGGATAAATTTTAGACAAAATTGGAAAACAGTGATTTTAAATCATTCTTATGTGTTTTAAAAGTAGGCGTCATTATTCTAATTTTAAACTGTCAATTTGACATTTAATAAAAAAAATTAAATTACCCTACCACCGTGATTACGGCAAACGGCTTGTCGTGCATGGCCTACTTCGATTAATTTCTTTTTCGATCTCGCGATATTATTAGATAGGTTTTTAATTTTTGGTACCTACATTAGACCTGGAAAATAATCAGCTAATAATAAGTGTTTTTCTCATCTTTTCTCTGTTAATTTGTGGCACAACATAAGTCCTCATCAAAATATTGTTAAATTCATAACAGATTTATTTGGATTTGTTAGGTTATGTTGCCACTAACTGGTAGATAACGTTTTAACTGACAGTTTGAACTGTCAGTTAATTTATCAGGCACTTTGACCACCAGTTTTGAGCTAGCGGGTAATGATAAACAGGTTAACTCACAGACAAGCTTTAACTGCCAGTTACTTTAACTTAACTGCGCATTGATAAACCGGCCCTTAATGACGGTACCCTCGATTTAGAACACGCTAGAATAAAACTTTATTTCGAAAACGCGTTGACACATCTTCACCAGCACCGCAAGGTAACGCACCTAGGGGTACACCGTCACCATCGGTGCAATTGCTCCCGATTGTTATTAAACCGTTTAGCGGAATTTATACTGAACGGCTACCATTTTACAATATGCAGCACCACGTGACCAATTTGTTTAATCTACCTCAAGTCATTAAAGATTCCCCCAGTTCAATGCGACAGTTATTAGATACTTTTAACACAAATCTTGAAGCTTTAAAATCTTTTGATATCGAAATAAATCCATCAGACGTCTTACTTATTTATTTATTAACATCCAAATTAGACTTTATCAGCCGCAGGGGTTGGGAAGAACCTTTGACTACGAACGAATTACCAACTAAAAAACAGTTAATTGATTACTTGACGCAACGGTGTCATTTGATGGAATCGATGGAGTTGAATAAATCTCAATTTAAAGCTAACAATACGTATAATAATAATCAAATAAGAACCAAAATCATTTTCAAGGCCCCCACAAAAGGTGTCTACATTTACAGCGGCAGTAAATCGCAATAGTACACAATCCACTTGTTATTTTTGTAAAAAATCTCATTTAATATACAACTGTGTTACCTTTTTAAAACTCAGTGTTTCGGAAAGAAGGTCTCAGGTAGATAGGTTGAGATTATGTCAAAATTGTCTCAAATCATCGCATACGTCCGATAGCTGTAAATCTATGTCATGTAAATTATGCCTATTGAAACATAATACACTTTTACATAGTGATCAACCCTCCCATTCAAACGAAAACCATTCTAGTACCAGTGGAGTTTATTGCTCATCCACCTTTTTTCCACAAGCCGTTTTGTCTACAGCAATAATTCTAATAAAGGATTGTAAAAACAAATTTCAAAAATTCCGGGCTTTGTTAGACGTGGGTTCAGAATCGCATTTTATTACTGAAGCCGCCACCAACAAATTTGCATTTAGTGTACTTAAGTACACTAAATGCAAATGTGGTCGTAGCAGGTATTCAATGTTCAAATACGACCGCCAGACAAAAGGTTCAGGTACAGATCGAGTCGTTGCATTACTCATTTACAACAGCTTTAAATTGTCTGATAATCCCAAAAATTTCGAAGAACATACCTAACCGTACCTTTTCTAAAGATAAGCTGGACATACCTAAAGGGGTAAAACTTGCTGATCCTAATTTCAATTTGTCACAGCCAATCGATCTGTTAATCGGAGCTGGATTATTTTGGCAACTGTTATGTGTAGGTCAAATTCAAACAATAGGGCATGGCTTAATATTACAAAAAACTTAATTAGGTTGGATTGTAGGAGGGCCATTGCATGGATGCCCCACCAGTAACACTCGTCAAAATCTACATTGCGCGGTCAATAATGTCAATTTAGAAAACCAGGTTGAAAAGTTCTGGAAACTTGAAAGTTATTCAAACGATGATAAGCCGCTCACAGCTCTTG